ATATCCTAAAAAGCACACATACACAAATTCTCAAAAAAATATTAGCAAACTAAATTCAAAAATACATACAAAGAATTAAATATATAGAAAGCCCACAGCTAACATCATGCCCAATGGTGGAAGGTAAAATATTTTCCTTGAACATCAGCAAGAAGACAAGGATGCCCACTCTTGACATTTTTATTCAACATAGTATTGGAAATCCTAGCCATAGTAATTATGCAAGAAAAAGAAATAAAAGCCATGGAAATTGGAGAGGATGAATAAACTGCCACTATTTGCAGATGAAGAATTTTATATTTATAAAACCCTAAAAACTATATGAAAAAAGTATTAGAACTAATAAATGAATTTAGAAAAATTATAGAGCAAAAATCAATATACAAAAACCACTTGTATTTCTATACACTAAAAATCAACTACCAGAAAGAGAAATTAAGAAAATTCCATGTAAAATTGCATCAAAAAGAAAGTAATTCCTAGGTATAAATGTAACCAAATAAAAATCTAAAAACTGAAAGTTATAAGGCAGTATTGACAGAAACTGAGGAAAAAACAAATAAGTGAGAAGATATCTTGAGCTTATTGATGTGAAAAATTAATATTGTTAAAATGTCCATACTACCCAAAGCCATATACAGATGCAGTGCAATCCCCATCAAAATTCCAATGGCATTGTTCACTGACCTAGAACAAAAATCATAAAATGTGTATAGAACACAGAAGAGCCCCAAATAGTAAAGCATATCTTGAGAAAGAAGAACCAGGGACATCATACTCCTGACTTCAAACTATACTACAAAGCTACAGTAGTCAAAACAGTATGGTAGCGGCATGAAAAAGATACACAGATCAATGGAACAGAATGGAGAGCCCAGAAATAAATCCATGCTTATATGGTCAATTACTTTATGACAAAGGAGGTAAGAATACATAATGGGGAAAGGATGATTTCCTCAATAAGTTGTTTTGGGGAAACTGGACTCCATACACAAAAGAATGAAACTAGGCCACTATCTTGACCATACATAAAAATAACTCAAACTGGATTCTGGACTTGAATGTGGGACCTGAAACCATAAAACTTCTACAGAAAAGCTTAGATGATAAGCTCATTTACATGGGTCTTGGTGATGACTTTTTGAATCTGATGCAAAAGCAAAATTAAAAAGTTGGACTTCATCAAACTAAAAAGCTTCTGCACAGAAAAGGAAGACATCAGCAAACTAAAAAGGCAACCTATTGAATGAGTGAAAATACATGCAAATCATGTATCTGATAAGGGACTGATATCCAAAACATATAAAGAACTCAATCAACACAGTAGGAAAAAAACAAACTATCCAGTTAAAGAAATGGGCACAGTATGTAAGGACACATTTTTCCAAAGAAGACCTATAGATGGCCAACAGGCACATGAAAAGATTTCAATATCATGAATTATCAGGGAAATGGAAAGCAAACCTCAGTGAGATATCACCTCATACCTATTAAAATGGCTTTTATCAAATAGACACAAAGTAAGAAGTTGGAGAGCATATGGAGAAAGAGAAATCCTCATGTATTTGTTGGTGGGAATGGACACTGCTGAGGCCACTGTGGAAAGCAGTGTAGAGCTTCCTCAAAAAATTAAAAATAGAACTCCCATATGATCCAGCTATTCCACTTCTGGGTATTTATCCAAACAAAATTAAAACACTAATTTAAAAAGATGCATGCACCACAGTGTTCAATGCAGTGTTACTTAAAATAGACATGATATGGAAACAACCTAAGTGTCAACTGATGGATGAATGAAGAAAGAAATCATTATATATACATGCAATGGGACACCATTCAGTCAATTACTATAGGCTAGTACTAACATTAATATTGGTATTAGTGAAGTCATACAATAATGTATGATATGATATCATTATTGTACAATAGCAGATAAAATGTATGTCACAATTTCAGACAATATTGTATGATTCAGAAAATGTGGACTCTAAAGTACCACACAAAGAAACAATGAGTAGGTTTCTGGTTGCCAGTGGCTGGATGATGGGATAAATGGAAAGATGCTGAAAAAGGATACAAACTTCTGTATTTAAGCGGAATAATTTCTGATGATCTACTGTACAGAATGGTGACTACAGTGATCAATGTTGTATTTATTGGACTTGAGAGTTGCTAAGAGACTAGATTTTAAATGTTCTCATAACACACATACACAAGATAATGTTGTGTGAGATCATGTATATATTAACCATCCTTATTGTAATCATCATTTCTCAGTATACACATACATCAAATTATTGCATTGTGTAAAACAAATTTGCATGATGTGATATGTCAATTATATCCTTCACAAAACTGTGGGAAAATGTTGCATGATTGCCTTCTGGCCTCTAAGTTTTCAGAATGGGAATCCTCTGTTATTCAAGTGGTTTTCACTTTGTCTTTAGTTCTCAGAATTTTAGCTGTGACATGATTTGGCATAGATTTCTTAAGTTTATCCTGTGGTGGGTTTCCTAAGCTACTTAAATCTGTCAGTTGAGGTCTTTGCCAAAGGTGGAAGATTTTCAGCCATTATTTGTCCAAAATCATTGCCACCCTGTTTGTCCCCTCCTCCCAGGATTCCAACCAACAAATGTTACATCTTCCTTCTGGTCCCACATATCTCTGAGGCTCTGTTCTTTTTTATTTTTTATTTTTCTAGTTTATTTTCTCTTTTTGGTTCAGTTTGGGATAGTTTTGTACCTCTGCTCTCCCCTCCTCGGACCTGCTAACCTTCCCAACCAGCGATCCTCCAATCCTTACACACCTTCCCTTCAGGCCCCTTCTCCCTGCACATTAAGCTGATGGCCATTTCCACTCCTGAGGACCACTAACCGAGCCTCATACTTCACAGCCCTCCATGAGGCAACTGTCCTGTGGGAGCTGTCGGCCTTCACTCACCCCAGCTTACAGTGCAAACCTGGACAAGGTCTGCACATTTTTCTCTGGCATTAGCTGGTTGGGAAGCCCTGTTTCATTAATCAGGACTGGTGAGAAGAAAAGACAAGAAAATTATTACAGTGAGGAAATACGGTTTTGGTACACTCATGGTCCCCTAGACACAGGACACAGCCTGCCCACAGGTCACACAGGGCGGCACTAAGGGCAGAGGAGCAGGGGGACAGAGAGGAGCTGCATGTGGTGACCCTTCCTGTGTATCTCCTGAGAGGATGGGGAAGCCAAGTGAGCAAACTCCTCAGGCCTCAAATCGGACAGCTGGAGAGGCTGCGGCAGGCTGCAGCTTGTGGGTGTGGCCCTGTTGTCTCGTTCCTGGGTGAGGAGGGCAGGGGTATTAGGGTCACAGTGCAGGTCCCAATACAAGGATGCAGGTGAGGATTTGGACCAGGATTGTCTGTTTTGCCTATCAAGGGCTGCTCTCAGGCAAGTATTTACTATCTCCAGGAACAACTAACCTTGGGAGCAGCAAGGCCAGAGCACCAAGAATACAGAAATGAGAAAACATGAGTATCAACCTTCCTAAGGCCAAAAGTGTGAGCTGAGGCAGAGGCATTGGGCAGGAGTGGAAAGTGTCATGGGGCTGACACTGCTGTGCGAGTACATTAAGGGAGCCTGTGAATCTGCATGCGTCCAATGCTAGAGCTCCCTCTCCTGCCAGAATTGAGTGCTGCTGAGCCCCACCCCATCTCAGGAGGTGCTGTGTCTGACATTTCTCACTTAATGATGGGCAGCTCAGTCACACAGTTACATAATGTGCCATGGACATGTCTACCACAGCCCTGTGCTACTCTGGGAGCTTCTTTTTGAACAGCAAAGAAGTTGTGTTTGAGAGAGGCTAGATTTGGCTGTAGAACCCCAGAAGTCTATGCTGTGCCTCTGTGTTGGCTTGCCAGAGAGTCCACACATTGTCCTTACCTGCCACAAGTGCATCTAGCCCAGGGGATGCCATATCGCCCAGGTGACAGAGCCATGGCATCACCACCTGAACATGAATCAGATCTCCCCTGGCTCTGGGCCCACTCCAAACCTGTGACATCAAAGTTAGCTGATAAATGGAATGGTGTGGTTTATCCAGGTGCGGGATGTGTAGTCTCAACACCACCGAGATGCCTAAAAACACTGTGCTTCCTTCTCAGTGTGAGGACAGGCTGCAATTATTTGTCCTTTAGCTTGAAGGGGCTGTGTCTACATCCTTTAGATATGTGGACCCCTGACTCATTCACCAATGACGTGGGCCCATGATTTTTGTAGGATTTGCAGCCCACTCCTGTTGGGCTTTTCCAAGACATCTAAGTCCTTGCTACATCTTGCTCATCATGTCTAATTAATGTGATGTTATCAGTAAAGTGTGGTGCTGTGTGATGCTTCCTGGAATGAAATGTGACAGAGAGCAAGAGACGTAAGCTCTCCCTGGATGAAGATGGAGGCTGTGACCTGCTCTTCACTGCAGGTGAGTGCCGGCCATACAGAGGACTGCCCTGCACTGTGTGTCCTCACTCTGCGGACAGACCTTGGAGAAAGCATGGAGTTCTTTCAAGACCTCCTGAGCTCTCATCAGCAGATGGCCAGGAGAGGGAGACTCAGGGTACAGAGAAGGGCTAAGGGGGAACACAGTCCTCATTCACATAATCTATGTGCATTTAGACCCACGCAAAAGCCCCATAATTTGCATATGTCCTTCCTCTTATCCCTGAAGTGTCCTGTCTCAGAATCTGAGAAGAGCCTTTCCCTGTGCACATGCCATGAGCAAATGACAGGGTCACAGCCTCAGGGTGGTGACTCCCCCACAGCCCCCAGGGCTCCTGATCCTCCGGGTTCCAGTGTAGAAGGTTGGGGCAGAGGCAAAAGTGGGCTGTTACTTCAATCAGTGATTTTCATTCTTCATTGCAAATACTTCACCAAATGAATTTAGCTCTCTGATTGTGTGAAATTACAAAAAGTAAATACAATTCCTTCCCCCATGTAACGAGGTGACTTAATGGTGACTTCCTTATATACTAGTCATGTTCCACTTATGGTTCGTGTGTGTTTCAACCTCCAGTGGTGAGACTGTGCTGACCGAGCTGCCAGCCTTCCTGCCTGGGACTCCAGGGCAGAGAGTCACCATCAGATGCCGGGCCGGCTGGGGCATTAGCAGCTTCCTGCCCTGGTACCAGCAGAAACCAGACCAGGCTCCAAAGCGCCTTGTAAAGTATGCTTCCCAGACCGTCTTGGGGGTCCCTGTGAGGTTCAGTGGCAGTGGGTCTGGGACAGATTTTACCCTCACCATCAATGGTCTGGAGCCTGAAGACTTTGCAACTTACTACTGTCAACAAAGTAAGTTTGCCTCCCACGGTGTCACAGGCCAGCACATAAAGCCCCAGGGCAGCAGGGGTGGGAGGCTGTGCTGCCCCAGCTGTGCTCCTGGCTCTTCCATGTGCTGAGAGCATTTCTCGGAAGCAGCTAGGCTATGAAGGGCACTGGGGGGTTTGGTAGGAAGGCAAGGCGGCTCTCCAGCACCCTAACTCTTTCTTCCTCCTCAGCCCCAGCAGCATTGACTGGGCAATGCTGCTCCTGATGTTGTGAGTTCAGGAGCATGAGTTAAGTCATCAGTCAGCGTCCATACAGTGGAAGAGAAGCCACTGTAGATATCTCCAGCAGGAACTGCTTCCTATAGGGAATTCATGTCTAATTGCATTCCTTTAAAGGCCTGGGGATACAATCATAAGAGAAGCAGATACTAGAAATGGGTAATTCCCTGGGGCTCCCCAGAAGCCAGAGAACATATGCCATTGGAGATAGAGGCTCCCAGTTGTGTGGGCTCAGGCCTGTGTGGGAGGCCTGCTGGTGGAGGTACCGATGTTCTCTCACCTCCCTAGGGGAGTATCCACTCCCCCGCTCTGTCCCCCCATCTGCCCGCAGGTGCTGATGGCTGGTGTTGAAGCCGCCTCTTCTGACTCCCCGTCAGGGAGGGTCCCTCACCGAGCAGCCCTAGAGGAAAGCAGGAGGATGCGGGTTCTGGGTGGTGTGCTTCCACAAGGGACGGTGATGATGGGGACAGCACACAGCCTGCACAGTCACCAGCAAACCTCTCTCAGAATTTTGCCAGTTAGAGGAGGGCCCCAGAATGTGTTTGGCTGTGCTCCCAACTGTCTTTATCAAGTCAGGATTCATAACAAGAAAACCTCATCAGGTGGCTGAGTGATCAGAAAAATGAGGGAATTGTAGTAGATATATAGGAACAATCTGACAAAAAATGGGAGCCTTTCTTCAATAAAAAAAAAAAAGAAAAAACGTGGATGGAGCATTGTTTTTCCTTAATATAAAAATCTCTTGCTGGTCAAAATCCTTCCAGAAGCCAGAGCATCATTGACATCCCTGGAAGCTTGTTACAAACGCAAAACCACAGGCTCCCCCTGACACCTACTGCAAAGTCTTCATTTTAACAAGATATCAGATCTTTATAAGGTTAAGATGATCTGTTTTAGGTCATATTTACTTTAGCCAGAGAGTCTTTTTTTCCCATTTCCATTTAAGGAAATCCTATCTGAAGTCACATGTTGAAAACACGTTCAAATATATTTTCTAATTAACACAAAATAAATCTAAAATTTCTTTTAAGATTGTAAACATTGAAAAATATAATATTTTTAAATGCCAAGATAAAATGCCTTAAAAATTAAATAAATTAGTGGTTATTAAAAACCTGATGAATTATGAAGACCTAACAATATTTGAAATGACATGCAATTGTGTGGGAGAAGACCTGGCTTACACTTGCTTGTGCAGTTTGCTCGGGGGGAATCTGCTCCCTCCTGGAACTTGCCATGAGCGTGATGTGCCTTGGGTTGTCACTGTCACACCTTTTGTCTTGGTCCCAGATCAAGCACAATCCATACACAGGCTGGAGACCAACTCATTTGCCTGCAGAAGCGCCACACAGCTGAACCCTGACTGGAACAACCAAATCATCGTTAATATCAGTGTCCACGAGCACAGAAATAAATGCTAAGTGTTAGAAGCCACTGAGTTTTTGAGTGACTCATTAAAGACCAATATTGTGTAAAATCTAATATAATGTTCACACATCTGCACATACAGACAGGTGTTATTAAAACCAATGGCATAAAAATGAATAGTTAGGAATTCATTCATAGCAAGATTCAAACACATAAGAAATGTTTTACGAATAAATACTTGAATTAAAAAGGTAAATTTTCCTTCATTTATGAAACAACTGAAGTTATCCATATATAGCAGTACTTAGAGTAGTAATAACAATGACAATTTTTACACATAATATAGATGCACCAAATGATTAAGCCCAAATTTCATAAATAAAATTGTATGTATATGAACAAAAGTGTACACATACTAATGCGTAACGTATAAATATAGCTGCATGTGGATATATTTTTTTGATGTGTATATATAATTATCTTTTGAATTAATGGGTTAATGTGACTCCAGTTACTCTTTATCAAAAATCGGTATCCAAGACCAGATATAGTACCCAATGTGCCCTGAGAAACTTTCTATATATTTGTTTCTAAATCATTGACCAATCAGTATTATTATATTAAGTGTATTTTCTCATTTCTGTATTCTTGGTGCTCTGGCCTTGAAGGAAATACCTCGTGACTCTATCCCCCTGTGCTCCTCACTCAGGAACTAGACAACAGGGGCCACACCTACACTCTACAGCCTGCCACAGTCTTTCCTGCTATCCAATCTGGGTCCTGAGGAGCTTGCTCACTTGGCTTCCCCATCCTCTCAGGAGATACACAGGAAAGGTGACCACATGTAGCTCCTCTCCATCCACCTGCTTCTCTGCCCTCGGTGCTGCCCTGTGTGACCTGTGGGCAGGCTGTGTCCTGTGTCTAGGGGACCATGAGTATACTAAAAACGTATTCCCTCACCATAACCATTTTCTTGTCTTTGATCATTACCAGTTCAGATTAAAGAAATAGGCCTTCCCAACCAGCTAACGCCAGAGAAAAACATGCAGGCCTTGTGCAGGTTTGCAGTATAAGTTGAAGCGAGTGAAGGCCGACAGCTCCCACAGGACAGCTGCTTCATGGAAGTGAAGTACGAGGCTCGGTTAGTGGTCCTCAGGAGTAGAAATGGCCATCAGCTTAACGTGCTGGAAGAAGGGGCCTGAAGGGAGGGTGTGTAAGGATTGGGGGATCGCTGGTTGGGAAGGTTAACAGGTCAGAGGAGGGAAAAGCAGAGGTAAGAAATTACCCCAAACTAAACCAAAAGAAGAAAACCAAAAGCACAGAGCCTCAGGGATATGTGGGACCAGGCAGAAGATATAACATTTACACCACTGGAATCCAGAATCCTGGAAGGAGGGGACAAACAGGGTGGCGATGAAGAAGATTTTGGACAAACAATGGCTGAAAATCTTCCACCTTTGGCAAAGACCTCAACTGACAGATTTAAGTAGCTTAGGAAACCTCAGATAGGATAAACTTGAAAAAATCTACGCCAAACCATATCACAGTTAAATTTCTGAGAACTAAAGACAAAGAAGAAAATCTTAAAGGCAGCAGGAGAGAAACCACATTTTACCCACAGGGAAAAAAACCACTTGAATGACAGAGGATTTCTATTCTGAAAACACAGAGGCCAGACGCAATGATGCAGCATTTTCTCACAGCTTTGTTGAGGACATAATTGACATACAACATTGTGTAAGTTTAAGTTTTTCACAATGTGGTAATTTGATCTATGTGTATACTGAGAAATGATTATCACAATAAGGGTGGTTAACATATCCATGACCTCACATAATTATCTTGTGTGTGTGGAGAACATTTAAAGTCTCTTAGCAACTCTGAAGTCCAATAAATACAATATTGTTTGCATATATTGTGCAGTACAGCAGATCATCAGAAATCATTCACTTTATATATAGAAGTTTGTATCCTTTGATCAGCATCTTTTCATTTATGCCACAATCCAGTCCCTGGCAACTACTAAGAGCTAATACTCTGCTTTCATGAGTTTGGCTACTTTAGATTCCACACATTTGTGACATCACACAGTACTGGTCTTTCTCTGTCTGACTTACCTCACTTACCATAATGCCTGGAAGGTCCATCCATGTTATTGCAAGTGGTAGAATTTCCAACATCTTTATGGCTGAATAATATTTATTATACATATATTATTATATATAATTATATATGTATATAGCTTTTTCTTTTTCTTTATCCATTCATCCATACTTGGACCTTTAAGTTGATTTCATTATTGGCTATTATCAGTATTGCTTCAGTAAACACAGTCATGCAGATATTTATTTATGATAGTGATTTCATTTCTTTCATATATGTACCCATAAATGGAATTGCTGGATTATATGGTAGTTCTACTTTAATTATTTGAAGACCCTCCATACTGTTTTCCATGGTGGCTGCGCCTAACATTTAGGTTCCCACAAAAGGGTTCCCTTTTCTCCACATTTCCACTAACACTTGCTGTCTCTTGTCTTTTTGATGATAGCCATGCTAACAAATGGGTGATGATATCTCATTGTGGTTTTGATTTGCATTTCCCTAATAATTAATAATGTTGAACACCTTTTCATTCTCAACCAAACTTGCTTTTCTTCCCAAACAAGCCATTGAATATGCTGCCTGGCTGCCTGGCATCTGCTTCTAAGCTTTGTTTTGGGGCTGGGGACAACGTTCAGCCATCACATGGAGCTGTGGATTTGCTTTCCTACCCAGGCAGGGCCATGGAATGGGCTCCAAGGCCCAAAGAGCACATTGGCTGGGATTTCAAACCAGGCAGACTGAAGACTGAGCTCCCTGGCCAGACTGGATTACCGGCTTGGCTCTGAGAGGGGCTGAGCCACTGGCTGGGGTTTCTGGCTTGGGGCCACAGCTAGCAGAAGTGCAGCTCTCCGAGACTGAAGTGCTGGTTGCTGTAAGCCCCTTTTCCATCATTATGAGGCAAAGAAAAAAAAAAAAAGAAGACCTAATTACCTTCAGATATGATGATATAATAAGAGAAAGAGAAAGAAATGAGGTTAATACAGAAAATTAGAAAAGTTAATATAGAAAATAGATAAATCTCCAAACTAAAGAATTATACAGGCCACTGAAATATACTCCATTAAGCGGTGAGCCTTCTCTATGCACATTGCCAAAGGAGGCAATGCATGGACTTGTTGCAAAAACATTAGCTCTTTCCTCTCTTTATTTTCTCCATGACTCTAGACAACAAATCAAGATAGAACCAGTATTCTACACCCATCTGTAGAAGATGGTATTTCAGTTATATGATTCTAATATATTCATATTAATGTTTAAGTTTGAGAGGATCATCTAACTTCTTTTTATTTCCTCATTCTTAGAAAGAAGATTTCTATTCTGAGTATGAATTCTTAGACCCTGGGGACAAACAAGGACCACAAAATAAAGAGATGGTTTTCTCTCTATATAAACCCTGGAGCAAATCTCTCTGGAGCAGAATGTGAAGCCTGCGTCTTATGTAGTGCCCGGGAGGCACTGAGCCCACAGGGGCACTGGCTGTGCAGCTGTAAGCGAGCAATTCTGCCAAGTACCCACCTCCTCGGTGATTTGCATGTTTCCACCAGAGCCCATTTCTACTCTTCAGAATCTTCTTGAATAGGCTGCTGAGTGATTCTAGGCAAAAAGCCTTGGGCAGAGCCTGGATTGAACATGGGTGTCCTGACTCAACTCTTCTGTCTTCTGCTGCTCTGGTTCCCAGGTGAGGAGGGAGATGCAGGGACCATCCACGAGATAACAGGGGTTCTTCCCTCCTAACTGTGGGGTCTCCCCAGGCTCTCTGAAGCAATGACTCCCATTGCCCTTAGGGACACAAGGGCTCTCAGCTTAGGGGTCAGGGCAGCTAGAATCTTCTGGAGGAAAATGAAGCGGGATCTAGTTAATAATGGTGGCTCTGCTTG